GGCTATCTCGGTCGGCTTTCGGATGAGTTTCTCGCTTGGGAGTCCGCTTCGTCGGAAGATTTCTAAGGACATTTGTTAAGAGACAAACCATTATCCAGAAATGCTCATTTGAGCTCTAACCCATTGAACTCAGTCGTGACATACAGTGGTCGGTTATGCGCAATGGAGATGCGCTTATCTTCTTCAGGGAAAGTTATGGCCACTCTGGACGACTCTTGTGACATAGAGGGGGATGCAATTGACGCCACCTCCCTGAAACCTTCTTTCGCAGCCACCCAAAGAAACTTGGCAATTTACCTTTGAGAAAAGGGGGAAAAGTCTATTTTTTGGAAAATACCTTTGACAAGAGCAGCCTCCAACTGACAAAATGCGTCGAGGTCACTTTGCTCGACCAGCGCAACCTGGGCAACATCGCCCTCAGCTTCTTCTTCACTGCTTGCTCTGTCTGTTACCATCATTGCTACGCCTCTTTCATATACGGGGAAGGGTTCTTCCCTCACGTCTCTAGTAAGGAGAATGAGTTCGCCGTTAGCAATTCGACGATGGAAGATGTTTCGCAAAGCCCAGCAATCAAAAGTGGGATGCCACATGTGCCGATGATACATGCAATGCCGAGGATGAGACACTTCTTCTGGGGCGGGCTCCCATGCTACCTCTAGTAATTTAATGTCCCCATGCTGAATCCACTTTCTGAGGATGGCCTATACCTCCTCTAACGTGCACAGAAAATGAGGAGGCACTTCGTCTGGGTTCTTTACTCGAGGAGTGCAGCTGCCTCCACATTCTTCTTGTTAGGGGGTGTGTCAGCGGCTGAAACCTGGGGCCTGTGCCTGCCTCGGTTCTCTTCCTGCATGGCACCATGTATGCAGATGGCGAGATTGCTTGCCAAATTGCGAGATGCTTCTATCAAATCCGCAAAGGTAAGGAGCTTCAGATTGATGAGGTGGATTCAGTAGGATCCCTGCATTCCTTGTATACAAATCTTAGCCAACGCCTCTTCCTCGTGCGTTTCACAGCATTCCATAGCCCAATCATGGAACCTATTGACATACATAAGTAAATCCTCGCCAGGGCCTTGAACTTCTTTAGTCAAAGATAGGGTAGTCACCTTTTTTTCCGCTTGGAAGAACTTGGTGTGAAACAACATGGCCAACTGATTCCAAGTAGTAAGTGACCCAAATTCTAGATTCGCGTACCACTTGTAAGCCTTGTCTATGAGAGTTTTGGAGAACTCCCTAAGCCGCAAAGTATGGTCATGTCCAAAGGTCCCAAGGTCTCTATGAATCGCACCACATGTTACCACGGATTGCCCTTCCTTTCAATGAACTTGTTAAATTTAGAGGCTACATACCCCGGGGGATATAGAAGAAGTGCAATGGTCCGCGCGTAAGGTGGCTCGGGGGCGATCTCCTGGGTCAAAATATTCCTTCCATTCCTCAACAGCGTTTGTAAATCCACCATAATCACATAAGGCGACTGCTAAGTCAAGTCCTGTTGGCGTCCGAACTCCTCCGAGCTCTTATCCCTGCGGAATGCCTCTCTTCGACTGGTGCTCGGTGTGCTCAATCTTGCTGGTGTTGTGAGTGGGTTGTTAAAGAGGGTTCGGCAAGCACACAGGGGCATGTCCAGTGGCCTTCTGTGCTAACCAATAGAGTGTCTTACTTCGGTTGATCGATGATAGGGGCACACGTTGCATGGAACTGTCCTGGGTCACCTGTCCCCCAGTAGGTTCGTTAGAGAAATCACCGCTCGACCTCACACCTCGCCGAGGTACTCCTCTATCAGCAATTTCCCGAAGCAAGGTCACTACCTCTTTCTGGGTGCCCTTTAATTGCTCAATTCTGTACGACAGTGCATTATGAGCCTCAACTAAGGCATCAGGATAGATGATTCTGGTTCCTGGGAAGTATGACCCATGCATGCTCATGGACCCGTCGTAGCCCTCACCGAGGGCGGGGCTGGTTTGGGAGGTTGGGCTGATCTCTCTCACGCTCGACATCCGTGAAGCGCTCCTCCCCAGCGGAGTCGCCAAAATATTGAAGGCAGTTCTTTGTAAGATGAGGAGATCGTTCCACATAAGCCAAGAAATCTGATATCAGTATCCAAGTAGAGATCCAAGCAATACGAGGGACTTTTTGATAGCAAAGATTAAGAAAGGGAAGGCCGACCTCGGTACCCAATGGACTCGAGCTCGATAAGTTCTGGTTGTTAGGGTTATTATTATCTATCTTAAAGGCTGATTAATGTTCCTATTTATAGTGTTCACTTCCTCGGTCAATGCCCCTCGGTCTTTCGGGTGAGCCCGCTCTTACCTGAGGGTTTGAGGGTCTCTCTTCCTGACAAGTGGGACATTGACAGATGGACCGCGACGTTTTGCCTCCCGGTCCGAAGAGGTAATGGCGCTTCTTAATTAATACAGATCTTGTCAAACGTCTTTCGTAATTAATGCACTCTTTGTCACTTCAAGCTCGAGCTTGGGTACCGAATGTCCTTTCCTCCATGTATTGGCCTCGAATTGAGGCGATACCTTGGATCTTAGCCACCTATCCACATGTCCTCAGATTCCCGAACTCAGAATGGGAAAGAGCCTTCCTCGAGGTTCCGCCTTCTTGACCTCGCAAGGCTCTACCCTGACTTTATACTTCAAGGTCCCTATAACCAGAAAGGGAAGCTCGTAAAGCAGGATGCTCGAGGTCACCCCTGCAGGAAGCAACCTCGGGGAGGAGGGCCCATCCGACTGGAGCGGGGTGCGTCCACAAGAGAGGAAGGGTAACGACCCCTTCCTCTGCCAGGGAGTTCAGTTGTGGAACGAGTAGCTCGAGGATATTTAGTCCCTTCAGGGGCACGCCAGATAAGTAATGGCCAGGTGTGCTTATTTTCAGGGGTGGCGCCACTCAGACAGCCATTGTGGCGCGGTTATCAACAAAGATCAAAAATAAAATTAAAAATTACAATATATACAATTCTAATTATATATATGGTTTTCTTTATTAGGTTACTAGAATTTTTTATGGAGAAAACAAATTGTCACATAATACCCTTTAGATGTGAACAAGTTTATAGATAAAAGAAGCTTATGAAGGCTAACTCTAGTATAAGTCATTGTCCTACATCGAAAATTTGAATAAAAAGTGTGAATAACTTTGCTTATAAAACCAATGCCTAATCAGTTAAAGTTTCATTTTTAAAGTTCTAAAAGGTGGTGGCTGGGCTACTGATTTAATGGCGTCCATGTATAAAGTTTAGTCTAAAACCGGCCGGTTCATAATTGAATCCGTACACTCAGTAAATCGGGGTGTATCGGAACCAGTCTTGGCCATTTTTGGTGCGAACGGGCGGGTTTGGTGAACCATGAGAGACACTGTGTGTATAGGCGATAGTTTTGTCAAAAGAAGCATGTTTTTTTTGTTATTCCATAACATAATGAGGGTAATATAGGACTTCCACTTACTTAATGGTTATTTTGGTTAATTCAACTATTTTTTCTTGAAAAAAAGTTTTACGTAGTACTTTTGTTAGGGGAGGTCCTTGCAAAATTGAAGGGAAAAATTTATATCTAATCTCAAATTTATTTATAAATTAAGCCACACGTCAAGAGAAGTCATTGTAGTTTGCACTTCTTGATTTTTGGACGGAAGCACTTCTATCCTGTAGTTTGCACTTCTTCATTTTTGGACGGAAGCACTTCTATCCAAGGAATGGGATAGCACAAACACTTTACACTGACACATGTTTGACAGATGGTGGATGTGCCATAAATGTCACACTAAATTTCATTTTGAACCTTTAATTGACACATGTCAATGCTTGGTCAACACATTATGCAACACAAACGTATATAAAAACATGTACATTTGAAACCTTGGAAAGAATATGAACATGTGTCAAAATGTAAACTTTTCTGAAGAAAAAACAAAAATTGTTATGCGCAATGATTATTCTTTTTTTATTTTTTAATTTTTTTTTTGTATATTTAGAACAAAAACAAAGTAAATGTCAAACAGCCCCTAATTGTGAATGAAAAAATAGGAGAGTAATAGCATATGTAGTACAATAATCTTAACCTATTTGCATAGTTTCATCTTCTAAATTAAGTTACTCTCATTATAGAAATTAAACATTAATTGAAGTTTTATAGTTGTTTTATTCAAGAGATGCATATAAGTAGAATTTTATATTTATATATAGATGTGTCCATGTCCTACTACCCTTTTTTTATCTTTTTTCTTTTTTGCATTCAGCAGCTTATTCGTATTGTTTCATATTCATTTCTTAACTCAAACGTATAAACTGGAACAATCCAAATCCTAAAGAATTAAGGATATCATTTAATAATAGTGATGCAGATAGTACTTCTATCCATGGAATCAATGGTCTCGGTATTCACGATAGACTTGTTACAAATATAGAAAATGGTGTACAGTAAAGAGCCGAGTGAAAAATGCTTGAACACGCGAGAAATAGAAGGTTTTGTTAGGGAGGAGTCTCCTCCTATTTGGGCTATTAAATATAAGTATTCTTACTTCTTTATTCTTTTGGATATTTGGATAAATGGGCAAGACTGTAACCTAAATTAACATGAAATGAAACTACTATAATGATCTAAAAGCTTGTTTGGATGGGCTTCCTATGGCCTCAAGGGGCTTCTAAAAGTCTATTTGGCTGGACCTCCTATGGCCTCAAAGACTTTCGAAGCTTCTAACTTTTGCTTCTGCACAAGCAAAAGTTGACTTCTAACTTTTGCTTCGACAGAAGAAAAAGAGAAACATAAATTATCACTTTATTTCGGAAGAGCATTTAATGTTAGAATAGGTTTTTTTTTATCTGGTTGGCAAAATATTTGTTAAAGCTTGAAATAATTATTATCATTTTTTTTTAAAATGTTTGATAACATACTACTTTTTATACGACTATTCCCTAACACCATATAAATAATTCATTCAATGTCATCAAATTATTTTTTTTTATAAATAAAAAATAACATTAAAAACAGGCGTTCAAAAGGGTAACATCATCTTCAATTTATGAGATCATAAAAGATAGGGAGTACGCAGTGCTTAAAAAAACCACCAATTCATTATAAAACGTATCACAAAATTGCAAATTCAGATGCCAAAAAAGAGGTGGACTCAGATGCCTACACCAAGCAAACTTGAATTCATACCCATTAGATTTAAATATATATATATATAATAATACTCATAAACTATAAAGAAGTAATAGTACTATTATATTTAATTAATTGTCTTCAAAATTTAATTAATTGTCTTCAAAATTCCAATGCTGCTGCCCCGCATCCCTGCACATTAGATTAAAGGAAATAATAGTCAACATAACAAATTGACTCGAACACAGTTCCAGCTCAAGTACAAGAACAAGAAGAAAGAAAATTAATCCACGACACATTATCATCAGATACTAATATTAAACAACATGCAATTCCAGCAAGCAATATTATCCCAAGACCCAAACAAACTCTCTCCTATCTAATGCAACCCTCTCTCTCTCTCTCTCACTGAAGAGAACAAAACTGGTTCCTTTAAACTATAAATTCCAGCAAGCAGTGCTGGTTAGTATCCCTGCATTGCATAGGGATCTGTGTATATATATATATGTGTGTGTATGTATGTATGTATTAGAAAAACGAAAAGAATAATTTACAGAAGACTACAAGGGGCATATTTCAAGTAAAGTACAAAATCCATATACTATACTCCCAAATCCGCCATTCAGAAAACAAAAAACAGAATGAGCAAAACTATTCGAAGATTGAAAGTCCAAAAAGTGATACATCTATAAAGCTGCATTATTAAAAATCATAGCCTGCAAGGATAGCAAACCCCATCCACCAACCTAAAGAAAACATTGTATAGATTCCAGCAAGAGATCACAAAGCAACAACCACACAAGGACAGAGCTGACAGAAGAAATCTGGTTGAAGAACTGATAGTTGTGCTACTGATTTGATTGTGTGATTAAGGGAACACTAGTTGGCTTTGCCTCATCATTTTTTTCTCGTTTCTTTCTCATTCCCCCCGACGTCCATGATCTCTTTCCTCATTTCTTTCTGACTAACCAGTTTTTCTATTTGCTGCTTCTGTAAGTACAGATCTAGACAGAAAGAAGATCGATGAATCGACAGTAGGTAGTTTTGGAGCATGTAATGCTAAACCATTCGGGGCACCAATAAAGATGAGTCACAGACCCAGAAGAATGAACAGCGAAATTCTTTGGAGGCTCTTGTGGATAGTCAGTGAGGGTCTTGCACCAGTTGTAGTTGTGTCCGAAAGGGTCTTATGTTAATACTAAACGGGCATTCCCAGATATGGATTCTTACTCAAAAGAAGAATAGATACAAAATATATGCCTACACCTCTAGTTGATTTCCATTTCTCTCACGTAATTCTGGCAATCCTACCAGAAGAGCACTCCCTGGCTCAACGGGCCTTATAGGTTCAACGAGCCTTACCAAACCTATCAGGCTCCACAAACCAAACAATCCACGCGGCCTATTGCAAAACAGATTCATGCGTTTTTTCAGACACAAGCGAAAAACCTATCAGCCGGTAAACTCACTTACATATTAATAGCTCTCATCAATAACCAGTAACTTCCAAACACATGCTGCCAAAGTTAAGTTGCAAACTTACAATGCAACTTGCTTAGCTTCTTATATCAGAGTTCATCAGATAATTCAATAGTACAACTTAAGAGTCTCTTGCTGATACTTTCATACACTGAAAGTTGTAACACTATAAATGGGACAGTATTAGATTAGAAGGAAATTCATGATAGATTCATACATTGTAGTTTTAACACTACATATTCAGGGCAAGAAATGTAATCATTCAAAATAATCAAAATAACAAGTGAGAAAAGAACATCTAATTAAGAATGGTAGGGGGAGTTTCACAAAGGAAAAACCCCTCCAAAAATAGGCGTATGCTGCTATAAATTGACAAGCGCACGTTATTCTTTAGTAAAAGGCGAAAGAATAGTTCGCTCTGTGCTTATCACACGGCTCCGTGGCTTTCAACCATTCTAGTGTTTGCATTATATACTCAGGAGGGTGCCTCATGCTCACTTATTCTTTTGGATGTGGGAACAGAAATGAACTTTTCACCAGTGTCTCTCTCTCCAATATCGCACTAGCTCTCATCAATGTCCTTGTGTTGATTTGTTATGTTGAATTACAGGATGTAAAAACCAATAGCTTCTAAGAATTAAGTTGCAAAAGTAGAGTTAAGATGCAGATTACCTATTAGCTTATACCGATATAGTTCATCAAAAATGTCGTTTAACTACTGATGTTGATAAGCTGAGAATTCGATAACACAGCTTAGATTTCAATGCATTTTGCTGCTTATAGCTTCATACACTCAAGTTGTAACACTAAACTAGTTTCATCTAATTTGCCATGTTCATCTTATCTCAAATGGGTACACCACGATTCTTTCTGTACCCATTTGAATACGGCTTATTAGAGAGAGGGGCTTGGAAGCTCAATTACATACCCCTGCCAGATAGCCTACTGGTTTTCGATAAAGCATCATGGCACATGGCAAATCAAAAGGTTTAGGAGCAGGATGTGCATGGAAATATATATATATATATATATATATATATATATATATATATATATATATATATATATTTATGACCCTATATTATTATGCATCTAATTTTTTGCTACCAAACATTGTACTTCTATTGAAACATGCACAATATTTTCCAGCCTACTACCTTCAAACTAATTTCTTCTACTAATCACTAATTGACTAATCTGCCATAACCTTTACTTCTTATTGTGACCAAAACAAGACAGCCACCATTGTGGATTTTTTATTTTTCATTTCACATGGCATTACACATTTTAACAGTGTTGTATAACTCACTGATCATTTGGTGACCTGCACGCACTATGACGGATCAGATTATAAGAACTGAAATGCAAGTGATTAGCTCCTTATAAACCCTACATTCTGAACAAGAGACAAAGTATACAATCTGAACAAGACAATTTCTCTATAATGAGATTTTTCTACCAATGCAAAATCATGGAACACTGAAACGTATAGTGTTGGAGCCTAACCTATTCCCAGCCTCCTAAGATCCCCATCTTCATCCTGGACCTGGATTGAAGAAATTGAAAGAAAAAAAAACTTACAAACCAGTTTGAATAAAGTAAAAAAATATACAAAATACAAAATGAATCAGATAACTCACCCTTATAATTTTTGAATTCACAGGTGCCGGAGGTTTTCTGTGGGCAATGAGCTTCAAGCTCTTTAGCATTGGCATATGGATTCCCCCAATGGCGACACATGTGTTGGCTACCCCGGCATTTCAAATAGTGTAACTTATCGCGTCGAGGCTCGTTGTGATAGCGGTGATCGATGTGAGTAGTTAGTCCAGACTTGCTGGTCTTTATATCGAAGCAAAACCGGCAAGTGAAATTCCAAAGCCCGCCACCACCACCACCCCCACCCCCACCCCCCTTCTTGGGGCCGCCGCCACCACCACCCTTACCCCTCTTGGGGCGGCGAGAAATCAGTAAAGCCGAACTACCAATGGCCATGAATGCAGTTGAGATAAGGCCATTGGGAGACTTCGGGAAAAGTGAGGCCATGGAGCTCGAGAAACGAAGGGCCTGGGAATGTTGGGACACGAAAGGGGGCAGGACTCTTTGAGCAGTATTAGGGTTTACCCTTTTCAATAAGGGAAAATTACATATAAATGGAGTTAAAGTTCCATATTTACTTAGAGGCTGAGTCAAAGTTCCATATTTCTCTAAAATGGATTGCTGAGGTGGCACATGGTTTTTTACTGTTTAGAAATTGTGATGCCTAAAATACCCTTCTGCGAAGGTACTACTTTTTCTTCGAAGGTACTACTTTTTTGAACTGAAGGTACTACTTTTTGGCGTTCAGGTACCATGTTTTTTAAACACTCGCGAAGGTACTACTTTTTCTCCGAATGTACTACTTTTTTGAACTGAAGGTACTACTTTTTTTAACTGAAGGTACTACTTTTTTATTAGGGAAGGGCATTTTAGGCATCACAATTTTTTAAACAGTAAAAAATCATGTGCCACCTCAGCAATCCATTTTAGAGAAATATGGAACTTTGACTCCATCTCTGAGTAAATATGAAACTTTGACTCCATTTATATGTAATTTTCCCTTTCAATAAACTTTACTCTTCTTTTTTTGTTATTTTTTGTTTTTTAATTTTTTCAAAAATATAATAATAATAATAAAACTTTGTCGATAATTGCACCATTTAACAAAACATATTTAATTGAAATGGGAAAGCAAACAAACCAAATTTAAAAACCATATTTTTATTTTTCTAATTGATGTTATGCCCCACAGCCAGATTCAAGTGATTAAAAATAAATTATAATCACAAACTTTCATTAGATATAAACAATTAAAATTAATAATAACCATTGTTCATGAATAAAAAATATATATAAAAATTAAATAAAACAATTCAACAAACTTAAGAACCTAATTTTTTTTTTGTTTTCTTATTGATACTCACCCACTCCCTCAAAATTTTGTTTGCACTCAAGACTCAAAGTCACATAAAAGAGAGTAAAAAAAAAAAAAAAAATAGGACAATTTAAATCACATGAGATGAAATAGAAGCAAGAACGAATGCGGAGTCTGATATGGTCATTCCATTAGAAAAACCTATGTTACGCCCCATAACCAAACATCTAAATAATGGTCGTTTTGCTTCCAAGTAACTTCTTGCAGCCACACCAACTCCGTGTCTTGCTTCAATTTTTCTTGTCCCTTGCTTGCTTCAATTTTTCCTTGTCCAAAATAATAATAATACATTATATACATATGGCAATAGGAAAAACCAAACGATTTGCCCATTCGCGGGAATTTTCAAATCGAGTGTCCTTTACAAGTGCCACCATTAATACGATACATGAAAACAACATCCATAAGTTGTAGACATTCAAAACCATAAGCATGCACATATAAATAAATATATATACACACACACAACCATTTGAAAATTTAAAGGGTATATTACAGTGACACCCCAATAGTTTATTTATTGACAGCAAGATAAAACTTGACCCATTTTTTAACAATGACACCCCTATGGTTTACATTCAAAACCATAATCATACACATACACACACATATATATAAACCAATTGAAAATTTAAAGAATAAAATACAGTGACACCCCCTATGGTTTGTTGTGTTGACAATAAGATGAAACTTAAACTTAATTTTTAACGACCCCACCCCAGTATTAGAAATTGGATCCAAATAGAACCTAAAAAAAGTGTTAAAAAGTCAAAATGTCCCTTCATTATTTTATTTAATTTTAATAAACAAATATCAGAATCGTGAAGTGAGCAAAATGCTCATTGTTACCCCCCTCCCTCATAAACTATAAAATCTATACATAACATATATATGGCTTGAAGATGACCATCGCCACCTTCACCACCGCCCACCTCTACCATCTTTCACTCTCATCACTCACAACTGCAACCTCCACCCCCACAACCACCACCCAACATTAATCACACAAGCCACCAAAATAAGTACACAACTCTAACCTTCCATCATTTTCAAGCACAAAAAGATACTCATGCTCCCATGATCGCGAGGGTGGGTCTTCAAATCCAACCATTACTCCTGTTATTCCCTTCATAAAATTGTTGGCTCCTTCATACAAAGACACGCATGAGAAGGATTTCTTGAACATAAAAAGTGGCCAAGTGTGAAGTGCTCACTCGAGAGGAATACGAGAAATTGCATTTGAACACCTAGGAGTTTTTTTATTCAATTGGGCTTGGATAATTTGGGTAGATGGATATTCCATTTTATCCCAAACTGGTCGGTCAAGTTGTTCTACACCTATCTCCAATAAGTCCCGTATGAAAATACTCTTTATTCATTCGCAGACGGGGTTGATAACATCATTGACCAAGCCGCATTGAGGATGATTCTCAATCTTCATGAGGGCTGCATTAAATAGTATACCTACGTTTGGTATGAAGGTGAATGCTTCAATGAGTTAGAAGCGATCCGACAAATGAACCAAAACAAAGAGACTACGAACACAGAAAAGGTGGTGTCTAGTCAATTAAGATTGAAAGCTCGAATCACCTACAACGTTATTTACTCCATCCTTCAAAAAAAGGAGGTACCTCGGAGGTTTCCTATATGGAAGCATTTCTTGTTTGGTGTGTTCTAAATGGTTCTTATATTCCCTCGCACAATGGATTGCAACAAGGCCCGATGTCATCTTTTCTATGTTATGCCACTAACAAAATTATTTCGAGAAAAGGGGGGTTAACATCACCGGAATAAGTAAAGTCGAGCAAGGGAATAGAGATATGATCAACAAGACTGCTCTCTATCTTATGAAGCTCAAGGTGTACGCCAATGGACATTAGCACGATCCTAAGTTTGCAGGAGAACAAGTTAATGAAGAATAAAAGCACGAGGAAGAAGGATAGATAAAAGGCGGAGAAGGAGATGGACATGAGGATGAGCCTCATTTCATGGATGTGGGACTTCCTCCACCACAAGTGACTGCACATCCCCCCATTATCGAGCTCTTACAAGCAGGGATGGACAAATAATTCACGAATCTGATCCGTTCCGTGTGGATCGGATCGGATCGAATTACTACATCCACATATTGGGTGGCGGATTCAAAAAAATCAAATCCGTAACTATTAAAAATCTAATCCGATCCGTGAGTCCAATTCGTGAAATTTATATATATATATTCAAAAAATTTATTAATTAATTTAATTAGTTAATGATAATTTAATGTATTCTAAGGATGTATTAGTTAATAATTATATAAATATATGAATTAATATTCATAAATTAAAATTTTATGTATTGGGTTAGGGCAAAAAGATAAATAAATAATAAATGATATTACTTATAAAAATAAATAATAATAATAATAATAATAGATAATTTAGATAAAATTTAATTCGCGGATTCAATCCGATCTGATCCATTATTACACGGATCCAATCCGACTCAATCCGTGAGATAACAAATCGTTGGTGGATTAAAAAAAAATTAATCTGTTAAAAGTGGATCGAATTAGAAGTGATACCTAATCCGATCCGTGACCACTCCTACTTACAAGAGCATTTGACCATTTCTCACCGGACTGAGGCAAAGCTAAATGGCCTAGCAAGAGCGTCTTGAAGAAAATGACCAACAATTGATACTTTTCCGGAGGGTAAGTTGAGGTGACTTGTCACCACACATGACAATTAGCAACAAACAATATCCATTTAAATTTTATAATATAAGACAAATAAATAAACAAGAAATAAAATAACAATAAAAATAAAAAAAATCTAAGTGCTAATCATTTCATCGTAACAATACTACCCATATATACACATTACATATATATATATATGAGTGTGTGTGTGCGCGCACAAATATTGTAATTTTTACATATTGTACCCAAAAGATAAAATAATCATTTCTGCAACGGTTGGTTATTTTCTAGTCCAAAATTTTACCTTAAATTTATATTTGAAATGACAACAATTTAAGTTTAGATTCTAAGCTTCGACCTGGGGAATGCGCAAAAATCCTATTGCCTTTTTTACCCCCAAAACTTTTATTAGACAATCAAGGAAGGAAAATTAACAACTATCCAAGAGTAACACCAACAAAATAAAATAAATGTCTTTGAAGACAATTTATATCATAGAAAGATGAAAAACACTTACATGAAAGTCCATTAGCTATTAGCTTTGAAACATACTGGTATCCGAAGATATTTGGCAAATAAAACAATAATTATGAAATTCTTTAGCACTTAATTTGTGCAATGCAATACTGAATATCTGGTGGAGAAAAATCATATTTAAAAAAATAAAAAATAAAAAAAAAATAAAAACTTAATCAAAATTCTAAATTGGACAAAATATATTCTATTAAATTCCAAAAAAAAAAAAAAATTAACGGCAAAGGTAAAATTGATAGAATCATACTCAAATAGTTTTTTTTTTTTTTTAAATAAAATTTCTTTCAGGAAAAAAAAAAAAACAAAGCCAAACGTAAAATCAATACTGAAATAAAATTCAAAAATCTTAAATTGGATATTCCATCAAATTTAAGAGAGAGAGAGAGCCAAAAAAAAAAAGGGTAAAAGAAAATCAATAGAATAGGAGGAGGAATTTTAAAAAAAAATATAACTTAATCAAAAACCCTAAATGGGACAAAATCTGTTCCATCAAATTCCACAAGAAAGAAAAAACGGACAAAGGTAAAATCAATCCAATCACACTCCAATAGAATTCATAAATCCAAAATTGGGCCAAACATATTCGGTCAAATTCCACACAAAAAATTAAAAAAAAAAATAACGATAAAAGGTAATATCAATAAAACCATAGACCAATAGAATAGAGGAAAGATATATATAAAATAAAAATAAAAACTTAATTAAAAACCCTAAATTAGTCAAAAACACTTTAAATTGGACGAAAACAATTCCTTCAAATTCCATGAGAAAAAAAATCAAAAAATAACAAGGTAAAATATCATACTCAAATAAAATAGAAGAAAGAATTTAAAAAAAAAAAAAAATTTGAATCAAAAACCCTTAAATTAGATGAAACTTATTCCACGAGAAAAATAAAATCATACTCCAATAGAATAGAAGAAAGAATAAAAAATTCTTTTAAATCAAAAACTCAATGAAAATCTAGGTGCCTAATTGATTGAAAAAAACTAAATAAATAAATAAATGTAAAATAAAAAAACATAAAATAAATGTAAAATAAATTTAAAAAAAAAAAATCATATTCAAATATAATAGAAGAAAGAATTTAAAAAAATAAGAATTTAATTAAAAATCCTAAATTGGACGAAACCTATTCAATCAAATTCCAAAAGAAAAATAAAATCATACTTAAATAAAAAAGAAAAAGAATTTAAAAAATTAAATCGAAAAC